ATCCTAGTCCAGGTCTCTGTGGCCTTGAAGCCCACACTGCTTTCTCCCTACCAGGAGTCGGGAGCCAGGCTAATGGGAGTCCTCCCCTGCTCCCCCAGCCGCCTGCTGACTGTGGGCGAGGCCCTTACCACTCCATGCCCAGTTCCTCCCCTGGGGAAAATGGCAACAACTGCGGTACTTATCTCACGTGTAATGTAATCATGCGTGTTGGGTGCCCATGAGCATGCCTGCCCAAGAAAGTCAAGAAACTAACAGAAGCAGAGATGAGAACACAGGCCACATGGGGGTGGCAGTGGGAGGCAGTCGGGGCACAATCTGGCCCCCCAATGCTGAAAGGAGCTTTGTTCTTCAGATTTGAGGACAGAGGGAATGTCGCCCCTCTTGGCTCTGGGGCTTCTGGTGTCTGGGCTCTGCCCCACTGTCCACTGCATCCTGGGGGGCGTGCTTGAGCCGCAGAATGTCACCCAGGAGGACCTACACAACGAGACAACCTCGGATTAGCCTCCAGCAACACCGACTTCACCCTCAGCCTCCATAAGCAGTGGCTTCAAAGACGCCCAATGAGAATGTCATCTTCTCCTTGCTGAGCATCTCCATTGCCTTGCCCTTCCTATCCCTGGGGGCCCAAGGCGCCACCCTGACAGCGATCCTTGAAGGCCTTGAATTCAACACCACAGAGACCCCTTAGGCCGAAATCAACCTGAGTTTCCAGCACCTGCTGCAAACCCTCTGCGGACCCAGGAACCAGCTGCAGCTGAGCGTGGGCGGCACCATGTTCATCAGGGAGCAGCTGGGGCAGCTGGAGAAGTTCACGGAAGATGCCAGGGTGCTGTACGCCTCTGAGGCCTTCTCCACCAGCTTCCAGGACTCCGCTGGCACCCAAAAGCTTATCAATGATTATGTGAAGATTTGGACCCAGGGGAAAACTAGATTTGGCCAAGGACCTTGACCTGAACACAGCCATGGTCCCAGTGAATTACATCTTCCTTAAAGGTGAGTAACTGGCTTGGGGTTTGGAGGGAATCAGAGTTTTAGTTCTGAGCCTTGGGGGCCATTTTCTGTCCTGGTGTAGCAAACCATGTTATTGGGGAAACCACCATAGAGCAGGTTTCCTCAGTCTGGGATGGGGGGAGGGGAGGAGGCATGGCACCGAGACCCCGCTCTGCCTGTAGACACTGTCTACTCTTAGGATTTTTTAAAATCTATTTTATTTTATTTTTTACATTTTTAAATTATGTTCAGTTAGTGAATATCATTCTCAGTGGGGAAAAACAGAGCATTCCCCCTAACGTCAGGAACATGGCAGGGATGTCCACTCTCACCAATGCTATGCAACATAGTACTAGAAGTCCTAGCCACAGCAATCAGACCACTTAAAGAAAACAAAGGCATCCAAATTGGCAAAGAAGTCAAAGTCTCACTCTTTGCAGATGATATGATTCTTTACATGGAAAACCCAAAAGACTCAACCTCAAAACTGCAAGAACTCATACAGGAATTCAGTTAAATGGCAGGATATAAAATCAATGCACAGAAATCAGTGGCATTCCTATACACAACAACAAGACAGAAGAAAGAGAAATTAAGGAGTTGATCCCATTTACTACTGCACCCAAAACCATAAGATACCTAGGAATAAATCTAACCAAAGAGGCAAAGAATCTGTACTCAGAAAACTATAAAATGCTCCTGAAAGAAATTGAGGAAGACACACACAAAAAATGGAAAAACGTTCCATGCTCATGGATTGGAAGAACAAGTATTGTGAAGATGTCAATGCTACCTAGAGCAATCTACACATTCAATGCAATCCCTATCAAAATACCATCCTTTTTTTCAAAGAAATGGAACAAATACTCCTAAAAATTGTATGGAACCAGAAAAGACCCCAAACAGCCAGAGGAATTTGAAAAAGAAAAGCAAAGCTGGTGGCATCACAATTCTGGATTTCAAGCTCTATGACATAGCTGTAATCATCAAGACAGTATGGCACCGGCACAAAAACAGACACATAGATCAATGGAATGGAACAGATAGCCCAGAAATGGACCCTCAACTCTATGGTTAACTCATCTTTGACAAAGCAGGAAAGAAGGTCCAATGGAAAAAAGACAGTTTCTTCAACAAATGGTGTTGGGAAAATTGGACAGCTGCATGCAAAAGAATGAAACTAGACCATTTTTTTACACCACAAACAAAAATAGACTCAAAATGGTTGAAAGACCTCAATGTGGGACAGGAGTCCTCAATGTGGGACAGGAGTCCATCAACATCCTAAAGGAGAACACAGGCAGCAACCTCTTTGACCTCAGCTGCAGCACTTCTTCCTAGAAACATCGCCCAAGGCAAGGGAAGCAAGGGCAAAAATGAACTATTGTGACTTTCAAGATAAAAAGCTCTTGCACAGCAAAAGAAAGAGTCAACAAAACCAAAAGACACCTGACAGAATGGGAGAAGATATTTGCAAATGACATATCAGATAAAGGGCTTGTATCCAAAAACTATGAAGAACTTATCAAACTCAACACCCAAAGAATAAATAATCCAATCAAGAAATGGGCAGAAGACATGAACAGACATTTCTGCAAAGAAGACATCCACAGAAGCACAAAAGAGTGCTCAACATCACTCAGTATCAGGGAAATACAAATCAAAACCTCAACGAGATACCACCTCACACCAGTCAGAATGGCTACAATTAACAAGTCATGAAATGACAGATGTTGGTGAGGATGCAGAGAACGGGGAACCCGCCTACACTGTTGGTGGGAATGCAAGCTGGGGCAGTGACTGTGGAAAACAGTATGAAGGTTCCGCAAAAACTTGAAAATAGAGCTAACCTATGGCCCAGCAACTGCACTACTGGGTATTTACCCCAAAGATACAAATGTAGTGGTCTGAAGGGGCACATGGCCCCCAACGTTTATAGCAGCAATTTCCACAATACCCAAACTATGGAAAGAGCCTAGATGCCCTTCAACAGATGAAAGGATAAAGAAGACGTGGTTCTTATATACAATGGAATATTATGCAGTGATCAAAAAATGAAATCTTGCTATTTGCAACAATGTGGATGGAACTAGAGGGTATTATGCTAAACGAAATAAGTCAATCAGAGAAAGATAAGTGTCATATGATCTCACTGATATGAAGAATTTGACAAACAAGACAGAGGACCATAGGAGAAGGGAGGGAAAAATGAAACAAGATGAAACCAGAGAGGGAGACAAACCACAAGAGACTCTTAATCTCAGAAAACAAATTGAGGGTTGCTGGTGTGGTTGGGAGTGGGAGGGATGGGGTGGCTGGTTGATGGACATTGGGGAGGATATGTGATATGGTGAGTGCTGTGAATTGTGTAAGACTGATGAATCACAGACCTGTGCCCCGGAAACAAATAATACATTATATGTTAATAAAAAAAATTTAAAAAAATAGTCCACAAGGGCTCAAAGTAAACAAGTACTTGGAGTCAATAGGAGACACACATCCATCGAGCCTCCTTATGAGCCTCAATAATGTTGGAAAAACCTTTTCAACAAAAAGAGCGTCCACACGTGTCAGGTATGCTCTGTGTGGTGTGGGGAGGTGTGGCAGCAAAATGCGTCCTCGCCATGCACTGGTGACAAGGAAAGAAGCCATCTGGTTTGAGGCCAAGAACAGCTCCTGTTCCGAGGTGGTGCTTGAAGCTCACACCTGAGGTTAGCTGTGGAATCTAGTGGACAATGTGGGAGATACGGGCACAGTCAGAGGCTGGCCACTGATGTTACTTCTACACCCTGGTGCCTGAGTGTTGAATTTGCTTGTGCACAGGTTCCTCCTGGAGCCTGACCAGCTCCTCCTGTGCTGTTGTTCTTCCCAGTTCTTGGCCACCTCTATCGACTGGACTTTCAGAGCTTCTACCTCACCATTCTCTGGTCCACCTCCTGCTGCCTCTTAGTTCCCTTCTCCACAGCCAGAAGAAAATGATCCTCAACAACAAGGGAATTCTCTTTGGAACATAGAGCTCCTGATTCAGGAGGGTATGTGGATGGGCTTGAAACAAGCGGCTTCATTCTGTTGCTTCAGATCCTCCTCTGGCTGGTGGTTCCAAGACTGTGACTTCAGAGCTGCCAGTCATTAAAACCAATGATTCCTGATACACACAGAAACACGGTTGTATGCACAAGGATTCATGCTGAGCCAAAGAAGCCCTACAAAGAAAGTAAATATGATACAATTACCCATTTATGAATTCTACAAAATTAAAGCTAGTCTATGGTGACATGAGAAAGGTCAATAGTTATATGGGGACAGGGGGAATAAGGGAAAAGGAAGGAGGAATTCCAGGGGAGTACTGGAAATTTAAGGGAGAACCGATGTGATCACTGTGGATAATGTTGATTTTGACACCAGTGTTTATCATTTCACACACTCTGCACGTGTGCAGTTCATCCTGTGTCAAGTACAAGCATCACAGCTATTGCAGAAAATCACAGAGAGTACTCAGGAGGAACACAGATATAGTGAAATGTTAGAGACTTGAAAATACACCTGCACTAAACCTGATTCTCTCTGTATTTCAAGTAAACTTTAGAACAAGCACAATCGTCCAGTCCCCATTACAGAAGGGGGTGCACAATCCTCATAAGCCTGACACTCTGTCCTGCAGGTGATTCAGGAGGGCAGCAGCTCCTCCCTGGGAAGAGCACCCAACAAGATCCTGGGGTCACCCTCACCCCATATGGACTCATAAGTCATGGACACCTCACACACCCAAGCATACACACTGGAAAGTTATATAATGAAAAAGCATATTTTTTCAAAAGTGGTCAATAGGACCAAATCAAAGGCAGTCTCACCTTATCTGATAACTGCCCTCTCTGTCACTATAGAACCCAAGCTGAAGACATAGTCAGAGGACATGCAAATAGGGCCCTCCCTCTGCTGATTAAAGCAGCCCAACACTGACCCAGCAGCTGGGAGAGGAGCGCCAGCCCCAGGATTCCCAGGTGTTCCATTCAGTGATCAGGACAGAACACAGACAACTCACCATGGAGTTTGTGCTTGGTTGGGTTTTATTTGTTGCTCTTTTGAAAGGTAATTTATGGTGAACAAGAGACATTGAGTATGTGAGTGGATATGAGTGAGAGAAACCATGGATGTGTGTGACAGTTTCCTGACCAGGACGTCTTGTGTCTGCAGGTGTCCAGTCTGAGGTGCAGCTGGTGGGGTCTGGGGGAGACCTAGTGAAGCTTGGGTGGTCCCTGAGACTCTCCTGTGCAGCCTCTGGATTCACCTTCAGCAGCTACTGCATGCACTGGGTCCACCAGGCTCCAGGGAAGGGGCCGCAGTGGGTCACAGATATTAGCAATGATGGAAGTAGCACAAGGTATGCAGACTCTGTGAAGGGCCGATTCACCATCTCCAGAGACAACGGCAAGAACACGCTGTATCTGCAGATGAACAGCCTGAGAGCCGAGGACACGGCCGTGTATTACTGTGCGAGAGACACAGTGAGGGGACGTCAGGGTGAGCCCAGATAGAAACCTCCCTGCAGGGACACAGGATGTGCTGAGCTGCAGGGGAGCTAAAGGCACCAGAGAGTGCACAGGATCCACAGAGCAGAGATCAGACACAGCAGCAGGTGCAGTTAGGGTGGGGCTTCCTTTTGAAATCAGGGCTTTTCTCCCTAGGCTCTCAGCTACCCATGGGGATATTTCATGATTTTTCTCCATCTCTAATTTCTCATATTCTTTGTGCAGTCAACCACAATGAGGTAATTTGTCTACACATAGATGAGTTCTCTTCAGTAGCCTTGGAACTTCCATTCATCAACCTCATTTATGTCCCATTTTTCTTCTCCACAAAAGGACATGCTGGGAATTCCCATCATCCCTGAGAAGCACATGCATAGCCCATGCTCTCTGCATGCTGAGTGCCCTTTCTATACCCTCAGGGGACACATACTGTCCCCACATTGTTATGAGCATCCCCCCAGGATGACTGCCCAACTGAGTTCTTGTGCTCCTGGCTACAATTTATCCTCTGGCTTATTATTCACGTGGGTGGACACGTGTGATCAGGAACTGCCCCTCTGTAGGCACCGCTCCATCTCCTGGATGGAAAAGCAGCTCACCTGATGGGAGGGGCTCTCAGATCTCCCCATGAAACAGGTGGGATGACAAGCCAAAGAGGAAAACCCATCCTAGTCCTGCTGGGTCCTGTTCTGGGAGGAGAGTCCATGATACACCTTGGGGGCTGTGTCTGAGATGTGTTTCCCAGCTTCCACACAGGGAATCCACGTGAATCCTGAGATCCAGCTGCCAGAGCCCAGATTCCTGCCCATCATGTGCTGTCCCTCTAGTATCCCACACAAAACCACCCTGACTTCACTCTGTCCTGCTTCTAACTTTCCCCTCATCCTATCCTGGACCCTGAGCTCCATGGGGCTGGAGGCCTGTCACTCTTCCCAGATCCCCACCAAGTGCCGGATGCTGAGAGAGGTGCAACAATGAATGTCTACCATGATGGCAGAGCCCTAATGTGGGGTTGAAATGGGGATCTATGGCCTAAAATATGATGCCTAAGAAATATATCAATTTCTAATGAGACAATATCGACATTTGCTCCCAGGTCCCTGCTTTTGTCCCATTGATTTGATCTGGGTTTCCCTAGAGAATTCATAAATAACTTTTGGGATGCTTGCTGTCTTGATTTTCCATGAAACCAGCACCAAACTCCAGACTTCAGAGGAGCCACAGGAATGGCCCTTCCACTCAGAGGCCTTACATTCTTGTAATAACCTAGGGGTGTCTGCATGAAATTGATCCTCTCTCCTCAGGGTGAAATGTGCCACTGTAGGTGAAGAGGATCAGGCCCACTCCTCACCTAAGAATGAAGCTCCTTGGGATGGTCTTTCCCAAGAAGCGGGAAAACCAATGTGGGGTTTTCGGTCTGTTGGCAGCAGTCTTGTGGGTATATCTCAGACACTCCAGAAATCTGTAGGAACAATGACTAATCTAGTGTACCTTCCTCCTGTGACTCTCCTTGCGTTGGGTGCACTGGGCCAGATGAACCTGGACGAGAAGTCCCAGGTGTGCAGACCCTCACAGACTCTCGCACTTACCTGTGTCACTACTGACTTCTCTTCAACAACTGTGTACTGTCAGTGTTTTCCATTTTAATCTATTTTACCAAATCTCCTCTCCCAGTTTTTGCTGTGCATAAACAGCGGACTGTCCTCAGTTGTGTTACTTGTATGCTATTTGTACATTTCCTTCGGTTGAAAAATACACCCATTGACAGACAGTGTGCTGGGCGCATTGTCTGATTGGAATGTCCTTCGTTCCCTAATATCCCTGGTATGACTCTTCACTAAAAATCTCTGATGAATTATCACACATACAAAAACATGTGTTTTTAGATTTGGCTGTTTCTAGAAGTTTTATTGGAATGAATTGCATGACAGGTAATATATTGTAAAACTGAAAATAGTTCGCATACTTATATTTAACAGATG